GTTTTCTAAGAGTTTTTAATAATTCTTGACAGAACAAAAGAGGGTTAGGATTCATGTAAGCTGTTGATCAATCTAAAAGTGACAGTACAACCAAAAATGAAAAATTACTCACTGTCTATTCACTCTCAAACTTTAAACAGAAAATAAGATATTTAGAAGAATGCTGAAAATCTGTAACCATTGACTTCCATACACTGTAACAAATTATCAATTAGTCATGACAAAATATGTTTTTAGTTCATTGTACCTTTTTAAACTAAGAAAATCATGTTCTAACTTAATTTTATAAGTTATGCAGGCTGTTTTAAGTCAGTTTAACATAGTTTAAGTTCAATGGACTCACATGGTTAATTTGATTTAGCTTAAAAATTTAAGGCTACCAGGGTAATTTTTTTACAGTATAGTAGGTTTCCAGCTTTATTACAAATATCCAAATAAGCCAAAAAAGATTGAAACAATAAAAGGGTGAGAAAGGATGGTAGAATTTTCAGTTTTAGGTGAACATCCCTTTGAAAAAAACAGCAGTATATCTAAACAAAATCTAGTGTGACAGCACTTTAAGTCCAATTGCAAATACTGAGATTGTTTTCTACTTGTTTGTGACAATGCAGAACAAACTTTTTTTTCCCCATATTTTCCAAAAAAGTAAACGCTAATAAATAAGTGCACAGAGATAAAGCCACTTGTTTTGGAGCAATTAAAGTTATTGTGACCCTCATCATACACAACCAGATACTAGGGATAATTTGGATGTGGATAACAAAACGCTCTCTATTCAAAACTGAAAGCAGCCTTTTGCCCTTATGCTAATTGAAATGCTTCACATTATGACGCTGAAGACAAAAGTACCCACTGAAGCAGTTTTAACACCAAATAAATACTGGGAATGCAACCATGGCAGTGTCGTAACAATCTTGTTTGGTACCAGAATGAACCACTCACTTTTATCATACCTAACAATAAAAGAAAACAAACGTCTATCATTAACCCTACGTTACTTTCTTTTTCTACACTCTACAGTTAAAAAAAACAGGGCGTACAGTTTGTGAACACAAAACAGAAGGAGGCAATGTATAAGTTAGAACAATGACAATCAACATATTCGGTAACACTTTACAATATGTGCACTAATATGCATTAATGAATGCTTAATAATCATGAGTTGATGTATAACTCATGAAAAACTAAACCATTTTTAATAAATACTGCATGAGCAACAAATGAATGTTCTATACATTGTAAAAAAAGGCTGTGATTTCAATGGTAAAAATGCTACAGTAAAAAGCCATAACCTGGTTAACAGTATGTTTCCTAATATATACAGCGAATAACCGTAAATTGACTTTCCCATAATTCCCTGCATGGCACGTCATTTTGTATATTTTTTGTTGACATTACTATGCATATTTTTAGTTGTTTCCCCATCAGTAATGAAGATTTATGTTACATCTAATATTGATAAACAATGTTTATTTCATGACTTTAATTTTATGCATGTCACCATACTGGTGTTTAGTAGCTGTGTGAATGACACTGAGCACCTTCTTTACACTGATACACTTTTCTGCTCGTGGGAAAATTTGTTTGTGATGAGCATTCGTTCATTATGTAACTTTCTCATCACCAACTGCACATGACTCTGTTAACATGTCTATCTGTGTAACAAAAGATGTGTAGATGTGAGTAATTCAGAATACAGACATATTGCCTTATACATATATGAAATATGGTAGTTTACTTTAAAAATAAGAAATTACTTTTATGGTTTGTACCATATTTTTAACTGAAATACTGGCAACCACAGCTGTTGTTTTTTACCGTAAATTTTGCGGATTTATTTTTTTAGGGTGTATGATTTATACATTAGGTTTTCAAATGTCTGCCATGAAATTCCATGCACACGCAGGCTGAGTGCTAAGTTTCACCTAATCTGCTCCTGCGTTATTAACTACAGGGTGGTTGCAATTGAGGTTGCTCCTTATCAGTTTAAATGCTCCACGTTGTTTTAAGCTGTAAAGACCCTCCTCCACCCCAGCTCCACCTGTGTTAGATCTGCTACGGGGGTTACATATATTACGTTTGCAGCGTGTTATATTCTCAGATGACATGTCTGTGTATATACTGGCAGTAGTAGGTATAGGGTACTTGCTCTGCCATATTAATCAAAGCAGCAGCAGCAGCAGCGTGACAGATCAATACTGCCAAGACCAAGTACATCAACATTGCCATGTAAATATTCATTATCATACTAAATCTCAAGAGTAATCATGACAAAAATCTTTGAACTGTTATTAGTTAAATGAGTTATGAGGGTTAGTAATATATTAATTCCCTAAATCAACTTACACACACACACAACAATGTATAAACACCAACCTGACACCATGCATTGTGTGTATTGTTCTTCAAAAATCTAATGTAACTTATCTAAACATATTTTATTAACTAATGATGTCATTTCATATGTTAATTACCACAATTGTCAAAGTTATGCACTTCAACTGCCAGTTGTTTGCTTAAGTTTATTATTAACTAATGATGGGGCAACACAGTGGCTCAGTGGTTAGCACTATCTCACAGCAAGAAGGATGCTGGTTTGAGCCTCGGCTGGGTCAGTTGACATTTCTGTGTGGAGTTTGCATGTTGTCCCAGTGTTTGCATTCGGGTGGGTTTCTTCTGGGTGCTCCAGTTTCCCCCACAACTCCAAAAACATGTGCTATAGGTGAACTGGTTAAGCTAAATTGTCCATAGTGTATGTGTGTGAATGAGTGTGTATGGGTGTTTCCCAGTGGTGGGTTGCAGCTGAAAGGGCATCAGCTGCATAAAACATATGCTGGATTAGTTGCCGGTTCAATTTGCTGTGGCGACCCCAGATTAAGAAATGGACTAAGCTGAAAACGAAATGAATTAATCATGATGTTATGACTACTTGTTGAGGAACAGGACTGCTATTGTACCCATTTGGTTATAAACTGTAAGTAGTTAGTCCTGTCTGTGCCTTAACAAATAAGTCATAACATAACGATACCTTTGCAAATCATTAGGTAATAATTAAATAAAGCAGAAAACTGGCAGTTGGAATACATAGCTTTGACATGTTGTGGTAATTACAAATGAGTTAGGGATTTATATTAAGTCATTCAGCAGATGCTTTTGTCCAAAGCGACTTACAATTAAGGAGGCATTCAGCGATTCGACAAGAAGAAGCAATGCACACATGAAGTACTAATTATACAAAGAAACTTTTCGTGTTCGGATAATTAAGTCCTAGAGTAAGGAGGGAGCAATGTTTTTTTTTTGTTTTTTTCTGTATAGAGTGTTTCTACAGGTGGTTTGTCAAGACCACTCACCTATATGAGGCACTCAGAATTGCATAATGGTTTGAGGTTGTTGTGTGGTGTGTTGGGGAAAGGGGGAAGAGGGGGGTACTGGTATTGTTCACAGAGCTTCGTCTGATTCATCTGCTTTGAATGTTATCACTCGGTTGAGTAGCTGATTTTAGAGAGTATTTGGTCCCTCTTTAAATATGGACAAACAGGTTGGTAATAAGTCCAGCTGCTGTTTGTTGAGTTGCTTAATGATCCTCTGCTGAGATTTTGAGAGATTCAATGTATTATACTTCAGCTGAGTTCATCTAAGGCCGTGATTTGTCAGTTGTAGTTTTGTGTTTCTCTTCTGTGTTTCTGTTTATTAACAGCAGGTGTTCATCATCAGTGCTCAATCATCCCCTAATTAGTTCATCCATTATCTCATTAACTTGAATAACTTTAACTCAATTTAGAGAGGGACAAAGACTACCTAAACCAACCCAAGCTCATTCTGGAAACGTAGCCCCGTGGACGTTTCTGGAGATCACGATTTACGTGGCCGGAGGTACGTAAAGGCCGCGTTTGTTTTTTTTCGAGCGAACGCTGTGGGGCGGTGTGGCGCCGCTCCGCCCCTCCTCTTCGCGCTCGCCGGCCGACGGCTCGCCTCCGAGTGGAGGGCTTTCCCGACGCAATCAGTTTGTCACAGCGTTGCGTCGGCGGAGCGGAGGCCCCGGACGAGGAGGAGGAGCCGGAGCCGGCCGCGGTGGACGACGACCGGGATCGAGTCCGGGGAACGGCGGGTTCCGGAAATCAGGTAAGATGAAAAACGAAATCCGTAAAATGAGGGCGAGAATGCGGCGGGATCCGAAAACGCGGTCGAAATCGAAGACGGGGGCTTTTGCTTTTTTTTTTTTTTTTCCCGATCCGGCTGGCTTTTCGCGCGAGAACGGCGCGGGCGCTAACGCCGCGCACTCCCGAGAGGCGCCCGCCTGAGACGCGAAAAAGCGCGCACAGCGGCCTCTCGTGGATCCGCGAAAACAAACGTTTCCACAATGAGCCCGGGTTGCCCTAAACTGAGTACATTTTACCCAGGATTTTGCTGTGTATGGCCTTCTGCACCTACTAGTAAGCTCAAAAGGCTGTTAACATCCATCCACATGGTTAATCAGCTATACTAATAGAGAAGACTCCAGATCCAGATCTGTTTTGACATTACTGTGATGGTTGGCTTTAGGATTGGGGTAGGGGTAGATGTTAATAAAATACAATTAAATGGAAAATTTAATAAATTATATAAATAATACTTGGTAACGTATAACATTGGTATCTATACCTGCTTAACACTTGTGGATAGATGATAACACCCTTCTGAGCCTACCAGTAGGCACAGAAGGCCAATACTAGCCCATACTATCAGCTGATAATGGCCATTCAATTGAGTGATAACATTCGAATTGGCTGACTGATAAGATATAATAAAATTTATATAGACATTAGGTTTCTTATCAAAAAATGTTTTCCACATAAGGCCTACAAGAAATTAGTGGAGAGTACATTCTTGTCCATAATTGCTTATATTATCATGCAGCAATAGGCTTTGTCACAGGTGCAGACTCACGAATGCATCGATGTATTTTGTATGATTGGTTAGATTGGTTCTCTCTATATCAAAGGAGAAAATTACATTTGTACTTATTTACTTGAAAGGCTCTTTAAGGTAAACTACCATCCTATCTTTCTAATTTGCCAACATTTTACATAAATAACCAACACTAGATTTGGTTCCTGTATTCGTTTTACAGTCCCAAGTGTATTATCAGAACTTAGCAAACATGCTTTTTCCTTTTATGCTCCTAGTGTTTGGGATGACATGCAAAATCAGCTTAATCTTAACACACTTCCAACTCTGAGTACTTTTAAACATCTTCTCTCCAACGTCTTAAAGGATACTTGTAATTGTTTTTATGATCTGACCTTTTTACGAATGATGATTTTGCAATTTTGTGGTATTGTTTTTTGTGCTATTTGTGTGAAACTTTATGTGCTGCCTGCCGTCTTGACCAGTTCTCACTGGAAGAAGAGACAGTACTGTCTCAATGTGATCTCCTGGCTAAATAAAGGAAATAATAATATTTATGCTAGTAAATATAATTTAAAACAGACATGTATTACTAATAACACTTTTTAAAGATGACTTAATGCGTGAATCATATAGAATATTCATGTGTTGATCTTGCAGTAATCCTTAAAATAGGGTTATTTATTCAGAAGCTATACGTTTAATGCAAATTAGAGCACCTGTATGGTAAAGTGTTACCAGATTTTTTACCAAAAGATGACAGCCGTAAACAATAGATTTATATGTATGCATCTTTGTTATTGAAGAAACACCATGTGCTCACTGAAAAGCACAAGAGCTCTTACATATAATGAGTTCTTCTGTCAGAAAGGCACAAGCCCAGTGTTTGTCAGGATCCGGCGTGTTGCGTTGCTACAGGAGGTTTTTTTTTTTTTTTTTCTTGTTGTTTTCTCTTTTTTTGGTGCACACGCTCTGGAAAAAGTCTGGTTGAGATGAGAAGAACTAGAAACCCCAATTGTCCTAACATCTTCCAAATCGATGTTCTCTGATTATCTGAGGAAGCTTCTGACATTCTGTTATATACAAGAAAAGAAAATAAACAAGTGCTTTTAGACAGTGATTTCCTCAAGTACGATTGGTTTTCAGTGGGTTCCTCATCACTTTAATGCAACAGACTCATCACAACAGGTCATTTATTCATTTGCATTGTGACTGAATGGACACAGAAAGAGATCCTTAGCCTTTCGAAAATGATGCCAATGCATGCCTGGTCCATGCACAACCCAACCGCTCTAAGACAAACAGCACACACACAGCCATGCAGATCTCGAGCCAGACCCAATCGGCCAATCCTTCCAGCAGGATGGGCTCCTAATCCATACTTCTTCTTCTTCTTCTTCCTCCGTCAGGCGTCTCTGGTTATCTTCGTTCTCCTCGTCCACTCAAGCCTGGGCTCGATAAAGCCGTTGGTTCGGCCACGTTCACACAGTCACCTCAGTCTTGCTGTTGGTGACGAAGTACGGATGTGGTGGCAGGTAATGTTGGCTCTGGGCGGACGTCAACTCGTTCATTTGCTCCATTGTGGCGCTGTGCTTCTTGGGGCCGTACGTGTGCCGGCGGCCCAGTGTTTCTGTAGTCTCCCAGCTACTCATCCTGCCGGGGTTGGCGATTGTGTTGGAGCCATAAGCCAGCGGGTGGGAGCTGTGGACCTTGGTGCTTTTGGACTTGTGTCCGTTCTGCTTTTGGCAGGGCAGCTCTGGGCTGTATGGGTTGGTGGGCTCCTGCTCCAGACTCACTGAGTGCATGGGAAGAGTGCCTTTCGCTGCCAGGTCGGCCAAGTGCCGTCTGTTGGTGTAGAAGTTTTCGTTGGCTTTTTCAGCTGTAAAATAAAGAGAGCAAAGGCAATGAGAATTTAATAACACTTCATTAGTCAGATGCAGGGACAAAAAAAAAAAAAAAAAGCCAAACAACAACCTCCCAACTGATTATTAGCTTTTATCTCTCTCATAAATGGCAGAGAATTACACATGTAGTAGATCAGGAGTGATCACAAATGAGCTTTTTATCTGTTAATATGCTTGACCCTGTAGTTATTATTATTATTATTTTTTTTTTTTTGTAGAAGAGTAGCTCACGTTCTGTCATTATTTCTATTTTGTGATAAATACATCATTCTTTATCATTTACACATCACATAATTTCAAATAAGAGATGCACACTTGCATTTATGTTTAATATATATGTATTTTTAAATATAAATAAATTAATGTTTTAATATAGCATGAATGCCTTTTTCACATACTTTTTAATGACTTTAAATGTATAAAATGGTATAATGTAAAATGAACATACTATATATTCATACATTAAGTAAGGTATGAGTTGTTATTGGTTTAATGAGAAATCTATTTACACATACACAAATATTTTATAAACACCAACCTGTCCAGGGACCACAGGGGGAAAGTAGCATTTTGCTATGACCTGACACCATGCATTGTGTGTATTGTCCATCAAAAATCTAAAGTAAACTTAACTAAACATGTTATATTAACTAATGATGTCATTTCATAAGGTAATTACAACAATTGTACACAGTGCAATTGTACAAATTACACAGCGGATGCCCTTTCAGCCGCAACCCACCACTGGGAAACATTCATTCACACTCACACACTATGGACAATTTAGCTTACCCAATTCCCAATTTTTTACCCAATAGAAATGTTTTGTAAGGATCAAATAAGCATATAAGAACTGGAACAATGATTTTGTTTTGTATTACAATATTCAATTTAATTATTATTATTATTATTTTGACTGTTTTTAATAATGGCTGTTATAGTAATTTTAAGAATGACTGTTTTAAATAATGGTTTAGATACACAGAGTTGTTGGTTTACAAAATAACAAACAAACAATCCTGCTGCACTACTACACTTGATTTTGGTTTTATTGTAAAAAAAAATAAATAAACAAAAAAGCATGTTAAATGAGAATCTGAAATCGTTTATGGCATACTTCAAAAAAAGGAAGATGATTTAGTATTCAAAAATGTTTTGATTAAATTAATTGGGGCGACGCAGTCGCACAGTAGGTAATGCTGTCGCATCACAGCAAGAAGGTCGCTGGTTCAAGCCTCGGCTGAGTCAGGTGGCGTTTCTGTGTGGAGTTTGCATGTTCCCTCTGCATTCGCGTGGGTTGCTCCGGTTTCCCCCACAGTCCAAAGACATGCGGTACAGGTGAATTAGGTAGAATAAATTGTCCGTAGTGTATGAGTGGGTATGGATGTTTCCCAGAGATGGGTTGCAGCTGAAAGGGCATTCGCTGCGTAAAAGGTGTGCTGGATAAGTTGGCAGTTCATTCTGCTGTGGCGACCCAAGATTGATAAGCGGACTAAGCAGAAAAGAAAATGGATGAATGAATGATAAATAAATTAGTCTTACACTTCATATTTTCAGACTTATAGTATATGTATTAATTCTGGTACTTTTACCATAAACTGACATATTTACCATTTGGTAGAGGTTGATATTTTAGAAGTTATGGGATGTGTTGAAAAAATGCATTGAGTGTGTGTTAACAATCCGCTTGTTAAGTGTGACGTCACGCGAAGTGGCTTCTGGGTCCAAGCGCTCTATTCAACTGAATGAGGAGACTCATGAAATGGCAATAATAAACGTTTACAGGGCGATTTAAGGCTTTCGAAAATCACGGTCGCAGTATATATGTTTATGCCTAATATCCGATGGCCAGAAAGTGATACATCTTTTTATAAATTGTTAAATTTTTGGTATTTGTTATGCAGCAAGCCCAGAGATTGTTGTGTACACTATGACTTTAAATAAAATTAACTTTAATGTGTGACAGGAATAAAACGCGATCATAAACGAATGATTTCTCCACTCAAATGAATGGCGGCTTGGACCCGGAAACAGTATTACATGCGTCACAAACACGTCACCACTTAACAAGTGGATAGCGACATTAGGAGTTAAGATATGCAATCCTTTTTTTTTTTTTTCTTGGAGGGCAGTTAAAGGGTTATGCGGTACAATATTCAGGTATTCAATACACTGCTTGTGTAAAAACTCAGTGTTTGTTTGCAAAAACAACTTTTAAAGAAACTGTGAATTATAAAAAAAGTGCCTTATATATTTATAGAACGAGCTGTTAAGCTGCCAGTGTGAATGGTGACCAAAGTAATTCAACTGTTTTGGAGCTGTGTGCAACATGCTAATTCTTTTTTTCGCCTAAGGTTTCTGTTTGTTTCACGATTCATGTAAATGTGTTTCTTTGAATGCAAATTGCTCTGGATTGCCTCCATCATCAAATGAAAGTGCCTCTTTTTCCTCTCTTCCAGCAGATGGGTTGGGATTTTATCTGTCTGTTGAAACCACTTTTTATTTAGATTTTTTTTTTTCAACTTGCACTAGTTATTGTGCACTTAAAACCCCACAGTCGCTTTGCAACTGTTAATATTGCATGTTATTTTTGGACAGTACGTGTTTACAGGCAACAAACTCCGCTGCATCAACACTGACATTCAAACAGACACAACAGCTCCCTTGCAAAGAAGTCGCAAATGTTTTTCTGCCACAATCGTTTTCAGTTAGTCCATCGCTGACAGCATGAAATGCAACTTGTTAGGACCAGATCAGACAAGCGAGTATAAATATTCCTAATGTGTTTTCAGATGCCATCACTAATCATTTATTATATTTTTTGCGGTACAGCATATTTCATAACGTCCCTCATAGTGTATCATTTTCCAGCTCAGCCGGGCTTTAATTGGGATTGACTACCCTCTGCTTGAAGTCCTCTTCATTCCAGCATGACATTTCAGACTTTTTAATTAAATATCCTTCAGATGACCTTTTTAACAGGTCTGACGCCCCAACGAGTCGCAGCAAACCACAGATCTGAAAGCTCATACCGGGAGGCAGACGGCAAAATAAGCCAGCCGGACGAGAGGAAGGCTGATCTCTGACGTCTTTCTTTCATTCACATCAATCCGTTGAGATTAGCCCACATCAGAGGAAGGTAGCAAAACTGAACTTGGAAGCTTCAGCTCTCCAGGCAATATACTCCACTGCTTGTGTAGCTCGTCTCCCGGGTCTCTTTCATTACAAACTGTCCTTTTTTTTTTGTTTGTTTAGTTTATTTATTTTTTTCCGAGTCATCGGTTTGCACAGACTGCACTTCAGTGGATTACCAACTAAGCTGTTTCATCTGAGGAAAGTCACAGAGAAAGCTTCTGCTAGTTGAGTACAAAAACTCTGTCTATATAATCAGAAGAGACACAAAATACTATATCAGTGGCCAAATCAATGTTGGCCAACAAAGGTTATTTTTAATAGTATCATTATTGGTCTGATAAGATGATAAATGATGTGTTATTTCTTCTGGTTGAATCAATTCACACATTTGCTGCGAGCCGCTAAGATTTTGATCATCGCTTCTGTGATGCAGGAGTTTTTAGTCATGCAAAAAAGAAGAAAGCAGACTTGTATTCTGCAACAGTTGCAGATATGCAATGCAAACTTTACATTTACAATCTAATTTAATCTTGAGTCATTTTTATTATCTCTTCTTATGTACATTTATGAGCTAGACAGAGTTGTCGGCAATTGTTTGTGGCATAGTCCTGAAGTGTGTCCTAAACCTCCTGTGGTAACACATTACTTGAAGGGGTGTTCTTAAGGGCATCATGAAACCTTTTTAATCATTACATGACACGCCTTGAATATGAATGTGATTTTTAGCATGCTTATGACAATTGTCATTAATTGTCATTTGCTCAGTTGTGTCATTTTCATGCAAAGATGACACTGTTTGAGATGTTTTGTTATGACAGTTGGACATAAACAAATAGATTCACCTGTCTTTGTCATGACAACTTGACATTACATTGACAAAATCATTTGTAATAAATCTGTCATTAACATGAATGTCACAAGGCCATTATAAATGTGTCATCCATTTTCTAACAGCAAAAAAATGTATCTTGACCGCAACTACATTAGTACAAATTTAATACATCATAAAATTGTCATCAACTTTTTAAAATATTTTAGGGCTGTCAATTGATTAAAAAAATAATCAATTAATCACACTTTTTTGTAATTAATTAAGATTAATCAGGAAAAGCCATATTTATTGCAGAAATAAAAACACAGGCATGTCAGTGTCATTTGAATTAATGGCAATAACAAACAAAAATGATTTTTTAATGTTGGATTCTAAGTGGACTACAAAAAAAAATATATATATATATCCAAAGTACAGGCATTGTGGAAATGGAAATTGAAAAATTGAATACAAACAATTGTACTCATTGAAAAGTTGTATTGCAAGTTGAGAACATTAATTATAAAGTAGAAACAATTTTGTTTAGTCCTCCTTGACATTTAATATTCGTCACCTTAGAATTATAAGGTTCTATCTGATATTTTTGTCAAAAATGAGTTATTGACATATTCATATTAAATGACGTCTTATTTACATAATGGGATGTTTTTTTTTAAGTTGTTTTACGTTTTAGGACTTTTTATTTAAAACACAAATGTTACATACATACTGTTTGCTATGGAATGCAAAAACTTTGAAGCTCAATATCTCAAAATCAAAATCATTCAGAACGCAGATAGAACTTTATAATTCCAGGGTGACGAGTTGCTAAGACAGTCCAGTCTATTGACATTATCAGGGGACAATGTGGCCCTTTTCTTTAGAATTATGGGACCTGAGAGTGAGAACAGTGTCTCAAACAGAATCACTGAATTAGCATATAAATTTCGGTGCCTAATTTTGGTGCCACTGGTGCTAAGGACGCAAGGACAAGAAGCACCATGGGGACATCAAAGGCACGTACCAAACCATATAAACTTCTTACAGTGACTTTGGTCACACCATCTCTTAACATTTAATTCCAAAACACTATACAGACAATGTCAGCGATGTTCGGCGTTTGCTCTTGTTGCACCTGGTGAGCGACTCCCTTCAGATTCATCAACACGCACGATTGCGTTCATCAAATTTGCTTAAAGCGCTTAAAAGTATGGCTGTATTTCACAAGCAAGGATGCTGACACAGCAACGTGAAGCAGATGCTTTACAAAAGTTGCGTGTAAGCGGGGAAACATCAAACTTTATCAAACATTGGAGTGCGCATGGAATCAACTTAAAGGCAGAGGAATGGGCTGTCTTTAACAGCTTGCGATATCATCTGGCACTTTCATTGAGTACATTTACATGGACACCAATACTCCGTATTTATGATTAAAATAATACTCTGATTAAGAGTCCACCATTTAAGCAAAAATTTTTGATTACCTTAAAGGACCACCCGAGCCATAAAATGCGGATGTATTTCTTTCCATTCGCCATGCCATGCAGTATCAAATTCCATTAAAAAAAACACTCTGCCGGCTACCTTTACTATATATTTTTATCCAATAATTGTCACCGGACATAAACAATATGTTGCTGAATGAAGGTGAACTGCTGAACTGCTGTTAAACTCTAAAGATTAAAAATGAAACACCCAAAATTGCATGAAACTCTGGAGGAAACTCTGGATAGCCTGGTGATGGACATTAATTTTATTTATATCGGAACTTTAAAACCGCTTCCTTGGTCTTATCCATATTTATTTGCACGTTGAACACACATCGGCCACAACAGGAAATAAAAAAAAAAAACTGTAACTGCGTTAATTGCGTAATTTTTTTATAAAGCGTTAAATATTTCAAATTAATTGTATGCAATAATGTACTAATTTTGACAGCTCTAAAATGTTTTTATGCTAATATAAAATAAAAAGAGTATTGATATTTTCACTAATTTCAGAAATTTTAATGAAAAAAATAATTTTTGTTCCATTGAAATAAATAATCAGAAAATTATTCATGACATAATTATAAGCAGGGCTTGACATTAACACCTGCCAACCCGCCAAACGCAGGTAGAATTCAGCTATGGCGGAGTAAATAGCCACTCTCACCAACCACTTTGGCTAGTTGAAAAAAATGTTTTTAATTGCCAGTGCTTGCTCATCACTAAAGATTAGAACTTTTGACCGTTTGTCAATACGCATTCAAATTTGATCTTAGAATCGAGAAGTAGCATGACTGACAAAAATAATTGTTTGCACGAGTGAAAAAAATACCAATTTGAATACTGATGATTAGGCGCACAGTGAGACAGGTTAAATCAGGGGTCAGGAACCTTTTTAATCAACCTAAAAATCAATCAATCAACCAATTAATCAATCAATCAATCTATCTATCTATCTATCTATCTATCTATCTATCTATCTATCTATCTATCTATCTATCTATCTATCTATCTATCTATCTATCTATCTATCTATCTATCTATCTATCTATCTATCTATCTATCTATCTATCTATCTATCTATCTATCCAAATCAATGAAATCATCCATCTATCCATCAATTATCCATCTATAAATTCATCTGACTAGTGTTGCTGTTTTGGATGTTGTTTTCATGCCTGACCCCCAGGAATGAGAAATTAATCGGAGGAAGAAATTACACATTTTAAAAAGTAGGTGGAGTTCCAGAATACACCCACTGATTGTGTAATCATCACAGACCAATGGTAGCTCGAAGTTGTTTAGAAGCCAAAACAACTCTCCACCCCTTAACCCTCCCTCATTAACACCAAAAATAAATAAATGAATGCAATTTTCTAAAGTGAGCTAATTAAACTGCTAAAATTAACTCAAAAAGAACTTTTGGTTGGATTTCTGGATTTTATTTTTTGGATTTAGTGTTAGGATTAGGTCTTTCAGTTGCCTCTTAGATTTTTTTTTATTTGAAGTATATCGCAGCCTTAAAGGGTCACGAAACACCAAAACACATTTCTAGAGATGTTGACAGTCATATATGTGTCCCATAACACTATTAGGACAAATTTATTTCACTAAATGGCAAAAATTGGTTTGTTTTGTTATTTCAAGCAAATTTATTCATCTGGTTTGAAACAAATTTTTGAAACTGCGTCATGGTAATTAGATCCTTGCGTGTACATGAAGAGTGGAAGTCTGTACCGGTGATTATATTGTGACATCTCTAAGTGTGCAGGATTAATTCATGAAAAAGACTTGGTTCAAACCAATTAGTGAGATGATGATTAATGAGATGTGACATATGCATGATAGCACTGGACTACAGAAAGTTTTGGACTACAGTGCACGCGACAGAAATATGTTTGTAAGGAACATTTTTTACCCAAAAACTTTTTGCATCCAGAAATGGTGAAATCCGGATTTGCTGCTTGTCTTCTTTTAAAAAAAGACATAGCTCATATTGGTGTTGATTGTCCTCTCTCTACAGATTTGGTAAGCGATCAGTGGTCTTTGTTTATTCAGATGGCAAAGTTAGTTTGTATCGTCAGCTGTACTCTTTCGTTTTTTAAGACATACCTTAGTCAAAATGATTTAGTTACTAAGTTAACAGTACCCCTAGTAGAAAATAATTCTGGTCCTGATTTTTTCAAATAGCTGGCACAGCAGACATTAATCTGGCACTGACATACAGCATGTGGGCAAAACATGGCCCGGGTTTGGCAGAGGTGGCACCGTCTTTAAGGCGGCACACATGATTTGGGCCAGATATAAAACATTTTTGGCCCAACTTTAAAAAAATATATATTTGTGGGCCATGTGAGTTTTGGCCAGTCTTGACCCACATTTAAAATACATTAAAATAAATTTGAATAAAGAAAAAAAATTCTACCAATCAGGTCACTTTGAGAAAAAGCGTGCCCATAGTGTGCCTAAAGGGCAACGCTTTATGGGTTTATCAATTTCATTGCAATCGTGGAACACCAACCTATCTAGCCCAGTTCAGGGCCAGTTATCAATTATTAACTTGGCTGAGACTTGGTCCAGATATGATCTACGTTTGGCCCTTGTCTATAAGCCAGATTTGGTCTAGTCATGTACCGTAAGTCACTGAGGCATGTGGGTCAAGCGAAACCTGATTTTGTGGGCCAGAGCTGGGCCAGAGAAATTTTGCTATGTGGGACGTTAATATCGCTACAATTTTACGGGCTAAAAGATCCACTGTAAATGCTGCCCTCTGAGTGTAAACATGTAAACACTTTTTTTTTCAGTGCATCATATAACACAAAAGCAGACAACATCTGAAACAGGTTGTTTGGGGGGCTTGGTTTTAATAAACAACTTTTTTTGTTGTTGGTAGACCAATAACCTTTTAGACGTCAAACGATCAAGGGAAATTGGATTTCTCAATTCATGGCCCCTTTAAGATCAAGATCAATATTAGACCATCTGAGATTCAGAGCACAGCCCGACAGATCTCAGACAAAGACCACAGTATCAAGAAGTTCACTGAACATGCTCATATTGAACAGTCTGTTTAAAAAAAACAAACAAAAAAAACAAGTAAAATGCTTTTAAGATGTTCCTGATGTTCTGAATTTTACATTCACTTTTTTATAGAAGCAAAATGTCACATCTTACCAACAGCCTTGAGCGAGGCGTACTTGTTGAGCTCTTTTGCAGCTGGTGACGGCTCATAGGGGTGAGCCACTGGCACCTGTCCCAGAGCAGGGTATGGGGTCATGGCCTGCATCATAGATGAACTGGGACCCACACTGTTCATCTGGGCACTCTCTACAGCAAGGACACAAAAACATAAAAGATATGAGGGATGATCAATCAATCAATCAATCAATCAATCAATCAATCAGTCAATCAGTCAGTCAGTCAGTCAGTCAGTCAGTCAGTCAGTCAGTCAGTCAGTCTGTCTGTCTGTCTGTCTGTCTGTCTGTCTGTCTATCTATCTATCTATCTATCTATTCCAATGAATGAATCCATCCATCCATCCAACCTACCGATCCATTCTTCCGTCCATCCGTCAGTCCCTCCATCCATCTCTCCCTTCTTCCCTCCATCCATCCATCCATCCATCCATCCATCCATCCATCCATCCATCCATTTTATTCATCCATCCAACCATTCATTCTTTCATCCAGGATCAATGCTTGTTCTGGCTCATCTGGTTTTCTACATTAAATTAAACATAAAAATAAACTCTTCTAAACCTTTTGCAGTTTTTTGTAATTAGAGACCACAGAAATAGAATTAAACAACAGATAAGGTAAAATGCTTTTTCATAAATACATATAGTGATGTCATTCACAATTATTTATTTGTCTGTTTCTTTGTTTCTTTAATAAGGATCAATGTCCGTTCTGCCTCATTTGCTACTCTGAATAAAGAAAGAAAGAAAGAAGGAAAGAAAGAAAGAAGTACTCTAGAACAGTATTGAGAGACCTTTTTTATATGATGTAGCAACAAATAAACAAAATCAAGATTTAGACCAACAAAATCAGTGGGTGCTTTCCTTTCTTTATTTTTGTGTTTTCCTTCTGCTCTAAACAATTATTAAAGACAGCATGTCTTTAGAAGGTGCGTCGAAAATCGACTCGAGGTGGCTCATGCCTCTGAATGTCTATGAGGCTTCCAGCTAGTTTTTCGTGGGCTAGCATTATTCACATTATTAGAGAAGCCAAAACAGTATATCGAAATCTGCTGTTCTCCTACCCATTAACACCCTGAGAAGTCTCGTTCTCTTTTGTTTAAGCTCAAAGCAGTTGGGATACCTCCCATCAGAGTCCGCTAAATTAACATTTAACAATATCTTAAGCTGCTTGAGGCCTGTTTCATCGACCCATCAACACAAGTTGTGAGTTTTCTCTTTGGTGATTCACTTTAAACCCCCAGGAAGCAGATCATTAGTCATGGATTTCGGGAGCTCCAGCCAGGCTCTCCAGTGCTACTAATCGAATCCATTTGAACTGCTAATGTCAAAACATGTTAATGCCAAGAGCACTGGCAAAGCCATGGTCACAATGGAAAATTAATTGTTTGTTTCACAACTTTTCACACTTGATTACTGCAAAAGACTTTCACATTGAGGGCCGCAGATGGAGTACATCATAAATGCTATTCTAGAGATTGCATTAGCAGACATCTGGCCAGCTGAAGGGGGGCACAGGAGCACAACAAATACACTGGCCGGCTGCCGGCTGGCATGAGGGGCCAACCAGATGTTGTGGGTATTATTTCTAACCACTCTGATGAGTCGCAAGAGACAGAGAAAATACAGCCAGATAGTGCAGAGGAATTGACAAACAATAACAACACAGGCGTATGAAGAAAACAACCCTGATCTTTGCAAAAATTATATTATGTACATCAATTCATGCAAATTTTTCACTGAAAAATGTGATGTTACTGTCATCTACTTAAAAACAAGTGAGTAAACCTGTTACCTTAAAAATGACAAGCTGATTTATGTAAAAAAGAGTAAATCCATTGTAACTGTAAAGGTCACTTCATCTTTTAAATGACGCACACATAAGTTTAATGGCTTAATCTATTTAAGGCAACGGGGTTACTCACTTTTTTAAGTAAAGTCAATTAATCACTTTATACATTGTGGTTTTTACAGTTTAAATGTAAAATTTCCAATATGTGGTGGTAAAAGTAAAACATAAATGGTTTTCTCAGGACTAGAAAACATGACCACCTATGCAAGAAACCTATGCAAATATTGCTGAAGTTCACATATTAACTATATATGTGTAACTGATAGAGTATTTCACAGAGGTGCGAATCCAAATGCAGATTTATTTACAATGATTGTAAATTAGGCAAGGGTCAACAAAAGGAGCCATCGGCAACATATAGATAATCCAAAAGTTGTTGTCGATAAACAGGATAAACAAGTAGTCGATAAACAGGATAAACAAGTAATCAAAACCAGAGAAAGGTAGGGATGGCTGATGAAAAACTGACATTTTGACACAATGTTGAGATCCCGAAGTGCAATTTGAATGTAATTTGAAACACTGCGCCGAAGCATGATCTGAAACACCCAAGTCACATGACTAAGGTGGTTCGAAACACCAAGGTCACGTGACTAAAGTGATTCACCCTTGGGGACACCCTTGAAATTGAGATGATTCATCTCAAGGGGTTATCCCATTCAATAAATAAAAAAAAATAAATTCAAGTGTTTCAAAACACCCAGGTCACATGACAAAGGTGATTCGAAACACCAGGGTCATGTGACTAAAGTGATTCGAAACACCCATGTCATGTGACTAAAGTGGGAGCCCCTCGAAAATGAGCTGATTCATCTCAATGGGTTTTCCTATTCAATAAATAAAACAAATAAATTCAAAGTGTTTCGAAACACCCAGGTCACATGGGTAAGGTGATTCGAAACACCAAGGTCACATGACTAAAGTGATTCGAAACACCCAGCTCACGTGACTAAAGTGGGACCCCTTTGAAAATGAGATGATTCATCTCAAGGGGTTAACAGTTCAACACTATATCCGTCCATATTAATTTCCTTCCATATTCTTAAGTTTCATATCCGTATATATTGTTACAGTCGCCAGTGATCTAGCTACTGCGGATTGCTGAGAACTACAACTCTGCCACCAAATGTACTACGATTTACAGCATGCACCGCACACACACACCAGTTCCTGATTCTTTCTGATTGCAAACACTCACAGCTGAAGCTGCTCAAGGACACAGGCTATTTACAGTATACACCACATCTGCTCACGCAAATTGCTGAGTGTTGTTTGCTTGTTTTGTTAGTTAAAACGAACCTGTAACTTCACATAGCATTTTAATTTCCTTGTCTAGCCGTGTTCTTTTATTCTTGTGATTTATGTTATCTCCTACCATTGTTCCTAGTTTATCTTATCTTTATCTAGTGATGGGCAAATTGAGGTATGTTTAAATGTTCTGTTCTTGCAACGTGTTTTGTTTTAACATTGGTCCGACATCTCAATGAAGACTTTGTGAATAAGTATGTCTTGTTTTGGTCATTAAAATGTCATGTGACCTGGTAATTCTAAACACTTTGAATTAATTTATTCTATTCATTGAATGTATTAACATTGCAGTAAAAAAAAAGCATTTAATGAAGTAAATTTGCTATTTTGGAAAGGTCAAACATATAAACATTTGTTTAAATGTATTAATTATTAAATGTATGATTTATACTGTAAATGAATACATTTAAAATATCTTAAAAGCACAGGAACAGTGGACAAGTATTGTAAAACTACTATTCAACATGATATGATAGTACTGTGCAACTCACTGTGCTGGAATGAGTCTTCATTACTTGAAATCTACCATACAATAAGGATTTGTGCGAGAAGGAATAAATGTTTTGGGGTTTTTACAGGCTTTAATGTTTATTTCTGCTTGAAATGTTTTTTTCTTTTTATTTTATTTTATTATTCTATGGGTTTAATATACATTTTTAAAGAGCTACCACTTGCCAATAAAAATGTGTAGAATTTATATTAATAGATATACATTTTTTTTTTTAAATCTAGATTAATCTCACTGTAATCTTGGAATTAATCTGGATTAATCTAGATTATAATGGCTCATTTGAATTCTGCCGAAGGCATTCAGAATTTGTAATACATTATATCTAATAGATTATATGTATTATAATACCCCAAAAAAAAAAGACTAAAAGTAAGTCTTTGAGAACGGGTTTCTCAAGCCAGGTGGTGCATTAGACCAGGGGCTCATCTCCTGTTTCCAGAATGCATCACAAATTGCATGAGAAACTGTTCTATGATGATTGGTGATGAAAAAAAAAAAAAAATGTTCAATATGATGTACTAGTGTACACTGTTGTCCTGAGTGACACAACGTTTCGTTCCTCTGTATGTCCACAGATGTAGCAGAATGACAATAAAGCTTGACTTGACTTGTGTGTTTTAGTATATGACAGTTAATTGTCTGATTGAGTGCTCTGCCATAATTTTGAAAATTTTTGGACTATAATGATTTTTTGTCCCACTTATTTTATACTTTTGTGTCATTCTTTTACAAATGATTGTCATTATTTGAGTCATTTGTAAGCTGTCACCATGCACTTTTAATTATTAAAGCATCTCAGAACATTTTGTAAATGCCAGAAAGAATGTCATAGATGTGAGTACACCATGACAGAACATTTTGGGTGAATACTTTTTAAATATTTGACATTTATACAAAAATAAGTCTTTGTTTATGTTTTCTAAGCATAAAAACCTAAAAGTGCCAACTATGGGTGGCACAGTGGCTCAGTGGTTAGCACTGTTGCCTCACAAAAGAAATTCGCTGGTTTGAGTCCCAGCTGGGCCAGTTGGCATTTCTGTGTGGAGTTTGCATGTTCTCCCCATGTTGGCGTGGGTTTCCTCCAGGTGCTCCGGTTTCTCCCCAGTCCAAAGATTTGTGCTATAGGTGAATTTGAATAAATAAAATTTTCCATAGTCTATGAGTGTATGTTTGAATGAATGTGAATGAGTGTTTCACAGTACTATGTTGGGGCTGGAAAGACATCCTCTGCATAAAACATGCTGGAATAGTTGGCCGTTCAGCCGCTGTGGTGAGCTCTGAAATAGAGACTAAGCCGATTGAATGAATGAACTGCTATCATTGAGTCATTTAATCAGTTAATTTGTCCAAACAGTTGATTCATTTAGGAATTATGTAAATTATATTAAAATAAATATTAATAAAACAGATTTGCATAATTGTAGCTAAAGTTTTCTGCAACAAGTTGGATTCTTTACTGT